ATATAAAAGAAATAAGAAAGAAAAAAAAACATTTTTACATTATAGTGAAAATCGTTGAAGAAAAACTGAATCTAAATAAAGGAGGTTCGTACATTATTCAGTATATTACAATATAAAATAATATCTCACTTTCTACAGATTGAAAACCATTCCAAGCTATTAATCAAAGAATCTCTTTGATTAACTGAATTTTCGTTTAATGTATTTAAACAATTGCATCTAAGACATTCTCCTTGACCCTCAATATATATTTATTTAAATTTATTTAAATTTAATATAGTTGCATTTACATAAAGTTTATAGAATTAATAACGGCAGGATATATCTTCTTGATTTGCAGAAGATCTAAGGGCAAGATCGTTCCCGCGAGCACGTGCGAGTGACAGTTTACTCATATAACATTAACATTTGACCCCCGTAGCCCCCGCGTGGCCCATTAAATGGTATTCTTATGAGATTTATAGGTATGCGTTTCATGACACAAGCGGTGTGGCCATAAATTTAACGAACTCGCATTTCGTGCGGCCCAAGATTTACGCTTTATCCACCGAGAGAGAGAGCATCGTTCTTCTTACGGCCTCGTGGCAAACGGTACGGGTCCCGCAAAAAAAGCCGCTTTACCGACCGCTTGTACGGTTACACGAGAAGAGAAGATAAAACCATCTCGGCGTTAGTGGTCACTTCTAATGTCTTCATCGTGTCTCTTTCTTCCCTTCGTTTCTTGCGCTAGCGCGGCCGTTTTTACCAAGATTAATTATGTTATCAGATCGTAACATTCCCGAGGGAATCTCGCTTTACAGCCAGAAATGTGAGATTAACGCTTAGTTTCAACGATTTTACGGAAACGAGTAATAAAATTAATTCTGTCAAAACTTTAATTAAATAAATTTTCACTAATAGCGACATAAGTTGCCATTCCTTAATATTTACTTAATTTCAAACATCACGTTTGCACGAAATTATTTAAAAAAGCAGACAAGCAATATAACATTATTTATAATTATGTATATTACTATTTCATTGTAATTTAATAAATACATTCAAAGAGACTTGAATGATACGCCGAAGTAATGAAATGACTTCACTGATAAGGATATTTATTTTTTAGCTTCTTTATATATGTAATAATTATCTGCATTTTTATTTTTATAACGCGTCGCGGTATTTAAATATCGCAAAAAAAAAAAAAACGAAGCAGTTGCTTTGTGTGACAAAAATTATATCCATTTCGCTAAAAATCTTGAAGGTTGCATACTTTACGCGTCTAGATTCGCATATTATTCGCATTCGACGCGGAGACAAGATCAGAACAACAAGATCAAGTGGCGGAACGCGTACAGAGATTCGCGACGAGCGCATCATCATTTTCCCAGAAAGTCATCGTCCCCATTTTCATATTTTTGTCTCTTCCTTTTTGTGTTCCCGAAGATGGCACGCGCGCTGACAGGAAGCGCGCGGGGAGATAGCCGGTTATCGTTCCGAGATGACGTACCGCCCTCAAAGTGTGGCTGCTCGTCTCTCTGCGTCGCATACATATATACTGCATCACTGCATTACGATAGTAGCGACGATAGTGTCCTTTTAAAACTTCATTCATCTACGCGCGCCATGCGAGAAACTTCGACTAGCTCGTCTCGCACACAGTTGAAAAAAATTGGCTTAAATTTAATATATATGTCTTCACAAATTTTCGTATTAATTTAACATAATGAATGCAAACTTCATAGTAATTCGAAATAAATTTTGTGTAAAATCAATATATTTTTAAGGATAAAATTATAATTTAGAAAAAATGTTATTGACGATCTGTGGTCACTCTCACTTCCATTATAGAATAAAATCAATATTTTTTTCTGTGAATTTTAACAGATAAATCCTGTCACTAATAATACCGAATATATTGTGTAAAATGAAAAATATGTGCACATTGTGTTATTTTTACACTTTTTTCAATTTTAATAATTTAATATTTGACTTCAATTAACACAACAGCAATATATTAAATTAACACATGAATGTTAAATATTTAACACAAAAATTTTAACCGGCATATTTTTTAATAAGAAAACATAAATTTTCCAACTGTGTAGATACACAAAATCACTGGCAATCACAGATTGCGAATGTGAAATTTTTAATGGCATCGAAGTAGCCAAGCATCTTGTATAATATTAAACGGATAACGGATTGCAATTACATTTATCATTTGATCGTTAATTCTTCATTAATTCCCTTTGGATTTATTCTGGATCAGATATCGAATATAAATGCGATAGCTACAATAAATCTCGTTATCTCAACGACTTTTTAAACGTTAATTCTTCTCTTTAAGATAATAGCTATTATTATCTTCAAATTTCATGTTTGGGGAAAATTCGAAGGTAATTTGAACGCTTTAGGGGAAAAGAAAGGCTATAATTTAAGAAATATTTGAAGATTAATAATCGATAAATCCACTCCATTTTTTGCAAAAGAAAATTTATTCAAAATCTTTTAGAATATTGCAAAACTTTATGTAAATTGACATTTTTCCTCAAACAAATTATCTCTTATTACAGATTTATTTATATTAATTTCATATCTAATTCTCCCTCTCTCAATTTAATCCATTACAAAATCCAATAATACAGATGTACGTCATATAAATCGCGCAAATAATTCGCGTCAAAATGGCATGAAATTTTCGATGCTTCCTCTTTCTCTCTCTCTCTCTCCATCAATGTATTCAATTTTGGCTTATTGCACACTCATACGTCATCATGTTCGCACAGATCGTGCGAAAGGGGGAAACAGAAATCAAAGCCATGCGCGGAAGTTGCTCGTGTCGGCCGGTAAACCCCAAACCGGCAGGAAAGCGATGCAGAGGGAGGTTTTGTCTCAATGATAAACCCAACGTCCGACAATAGATCGGTCGCTATAGAGATGGAACCGCGCTATGCGAATCTGTAAACCGTGAGATTATCCTGCCCGGCGCGATTCATGAGATGCGATTTATGCAGATGATAACTGCCAGCGCGGATAATGCGAGGAGTAGAAGAATTAAAAGTTTCAATTTCAGATGTGAGTTTACACACGAACAAGCTGCTTCTTCTGTATGCGTTTCCCTTATGTGAGTGTGTTTGTATAAAAAGTGCTAGAGTGAATGACGGATGGATGCTTTTTATAATTGCCAGGTGTCTGTAAGAAATTTTATACGACATGACCGAATGTGTGTGATTAATTTTATATAATTTTAGATTTTACATTTGAATTCTGTCATAATCTACAATTTTTTTTGTGATTATACATATTTAGATACAGTTTGTTAAAAAAAGAAATTAAATTGCAAATTATATAGATTATAAAGAAATTATACAGAGATTGTTGTTTTGAAGAGTAATATTTATTATTTAGTAATATTTATAGACATGTTAAAAATTATAAATTTAATATAATATAAAAAATTATTATTACTATTTTAAAGTTCTCCAAGAAATTTAACGTCAAAAAGTAAACAACACGAAAAAAATGAAGTAGACGAATCACGAGATTTATATTAAAGAAAATTTCGGCTTTGATTCCATCAAGATCGCGACTTCAAAAATATTCTACATATAAAAAAAAAATTTTTTTTTAAATATCTCCATTATACTGAATAAAATTCTTATGAGCTGGTATGTGTGTGTCCATAATCTGAAAAACGCAGCAGCATATTTTCACGTTTACCGAAAGATACCTTGCCGCCAGAAGAACAGGCCAGATCGAAAATCATGCGCCTTAATCTCGCAACGCGTGATACAGCACCGTGACCGGGCCGGGTTAACGTCCCTCGAGCTAAATCAAGGCTCCCCCGATACTGATCGGTCGATTTACAGCCATTACATCGACGGTTGACGACGGAAGACAGGCAGTCAGGCGAAGGAAGAAGCGAACAACGATTATACGAGACCGATTGAAATTCGCTCTCTCGTGCGTCCGGAGAACGCAATTCACGACGACGAAGCTCGCCGGCAATTTTCGTTTAACGAAACCACTCTAACCCAGTTCTCTTATTTTAGATACGCGATATCTTTTCGTGACGGTTCAAGAATTGTCCTTTTATCGTCTATCTCGGCCGCTTTCGTGAATCCGCGATTACGCAACGTCGAAGAACCGAGAGTATATATTGTGACGGGCCGAGCGATGGACCCCCTCTGTGTGTATCCCCCCTTTCTTTGTCCCGTCCCCCTTCTCACCGGCGACCTTCTTCACCGGTCTCCTCGTCTTCTCGTCCCTTTCGGGGTCTTCTTTTTCTCTACCGCGTCTCGGCTCGCCCGCATCTCTTTTTCATCTTTCGCCGTCACATCCAAGCCCCGCGCCTAACGACCGCTGCCGACGCTGACGTTAACTCTACGTGGGATGAAGTATATACGCTAATTCATTACTCGAGATTTTTTCCGATCCCCCCGGCACGCGCATTCATAAACATAATGCGCAGCCAGCATCGGACGGCGAGATTCCGCTGATTTTAATCTGTTAATTTGCCGAATTATTTACGGGGAATTTATCGCGGATATTTAAGGGACGCGCAGGAAATTTGCAATTTGATTAATTAACAACAAATCACCGATATACAGAATTACAAAAATTTATTTTTTGTTCTGTCAAAATAATATGAGAAAAATGAAAAAAAAAAAAAAAAAAATTGATTCGCATACAAACAACTCACGTTGAAAAATATATGCTATTTTTCAAATTCTCTAAATCTCAAATATTAATCTAATTCATCCATAACAGATTTATTGCAATTTATTGCAATTTTTTAAATTGCACCGAGATTTCAAAAAATTCCGGTATTTATCGCATGAGAAATTTTCAGCGCGAAAATGAAATCGCAAGAATGCGCGAACGCGACGGAACAGGTGGACGAGACGATGCTGCATTATCCCGGGGTGCGCCCCCGCAAGGACTCCGATGAGACGGAGAAAATCACTATAGTTCCAAGCTCTCAAGCTCAATTGCCGACTATTTCCAGTAGTGACTAAGCTAGCTCGCGTGCACATGCACGTACACGCTGACGCGCGCGCGTGTGACAAATGAGAANGTATGTGGTAATAAAATTACGGCGAACGCAGTTACGGCGCCGTAGGCGGACGGGTCCGTAAGAAACACGACTGCCCTATTTCAGATCCAACACCTTTCTCGTTCCCGTCATCTGTATGCGATTCCTTATCGAGGAAAAAAAAAAAACCGGGGAGAAATTGCAACGGCATTGATGGGGGGCCCGTCCAGAATTCAATAGTAAATTGTATACAGTTATTGAAATTATTTAATCCTGTTGCAAAAATTTGCATATGTCTAAAAGACGCTCGGAAAATTAGAATGTCCAACATCTCTTATTTTACTGAACGTTTGAACTGTTCGAATAGTTTCTCATGTATTTACACAACAAGAAAGCGTTGAAATAAGCAACAACTTTGTTTACTCGCGGCATAATTTGTTTATTTTATGGACAACGCAATTGTGTATGTGTGTGTGTATTGGAAGTACCGTGTCTATTAGTCTGTTAGTCCACTACAATAAGCATCACGTAGACAGCGTGCAGTTGACGTTACTTTATAGGCAGACTCCCGGGTGCTTTCTATTGTGCTATTTGGCTGCGGTCGAGCATTTCGAGGAATTGGACCGAAGAAAGGCTGCGAAAGGGCGGCGCGAATGGTTGTGACAGAGGAAGCACCTGGGTGCTACTGTAACGGCGTTATTGGCGGAAGGTACTGAACGATCTTGAAATAATTTGTTTTTGGTCTTTGAAAAAAAAAAAAAAACCGGGTCTTGCAAAATTAAATTTCTATAAAAAAAATATAAATACGATTGTCTGTATGAATAAATTTTTTAAGAGATGATTGACATTTTTCTCACCGAATGTGAATTATTCTTGGAATCTACAAAAATTATTCGACTCCTAAATTTATTTAGAAAGATCTAACATACTTGTATCATGTGTATCATTGCTTTTAACGAGATAAAAAGAAATTAAACATCAGGTTGCACAATCAAATAGCAGATAAACACATTCAGTCAATATCATCCGGTTGTTTTGTCTTTCGCATTTTATTATGCTCCGTACATACAGACGCGATGTTCGACGAGCGATCGAATACAGTCCGAGTTAGCAAAATCCTGGTCGCCGTTTTATTACATCCTCCGCGATCACCGCTATATTTGTCACATGCTTGGTAATTTTCCATAAAACGACTCTCTTATCGCCGAGCAGTAGTGTAACGTGCTTAAAATACAGACTCCGCCACTTACATGAAACCCCCCTCCGTCCCCTTCCCTCTCGCCCGCGTCACTTCTCCCCTTTATGACATTTCGCGTACGAATGAAACGCAATGCGTAACAATTTCATTTTTATTCTCGTGTGCGTGGATCGTTTCGAGATTACCGCGAAATTGAACAATTTCGCGAAATAATAATCGATATGTCATCTTCGATGACAGGAGATTTATTGTGGTTCATCAGCTCCTCCACCGAATCTCTCACTCTATCGAGAACCAAAGAGAGAGAGAGAGAGAGAGAGAGAAAGGGAAGGAGAAATTACATGCGACAATCGTACAAAAAAATCTCTCTTTAAAAATGACGATGTCGCCAAATCCCATGCGACTGCAGCGGAATTTTGATTGAAACGCGATCCCGCTCGAGGCTTTTTTCGTTCACGCAACGTGGGTGTCGCTACACGAACGCGTGCATCAAACGGGCACGAGGTATGTACACACGCGTGCAGGACCTCGTCGATGAATGGGATCGACGAAACAAACTGCGAGCCAGTCGAACCGGTCGTGCCAGAGCAAGATGCATCGCAAGATCGCGAGTACACGCGAATTGACGTTAAAATATCGTCCCCCCAAATTACATCCGCGATTTCTTTCGGTTTAATTAACTGTCACCTCTCGCTATTCCTCGCTATCGATCAAATTATTTATTGATCGAATACGAGTCGACGTGTCTTACAAGCAAAATTTCTTGGAATATTAATTAGAACCGGAAACAGGAAAATAGTCACTCGCGATTTTTGACGTTTAGATTTTTGCGGAGAAAATATACGATTAATATTGGGCACGGTCAGATTTTACGTCACACGTTATAAAAAAGCACAAGAAAAAAATACAAAGATGGCTTTAAAAATATATTTTAAATATGTGGATTAAAAAATATTATACGAAAAATTCTGGAGTGTCAATTTTTGATAATTCCGTGACCAATCGCGAAAAATGAAAGTGTATCACGAGTTATACATACCCCACTAACTATCCCGGCCAGGCAAACTGCGGATGCGATGAATCTGAAAGCAGAAATGCGCACGTCATTTTGAAAAAAAGCATGGATTAAAAACAGAATAATAGAAAAGCGGATTGTAAACGCGAGGTGTGAAAAAATGATAATGGATAATATCTCTCCAAAAAAAAAAAAAAAAAAAAAAATTTCCGCGGCAAAGAGTTTCGACAAATTATTATATTGTTATTTCGTGATTATAAATCAAAATTTCAAAAATCACATTTACAGCATCAATTGAAAAAAAAAAAAATCATTCTCCACGTTACTAATAGAATCAATGTCAAACTCGCGCGAGAGTCAATCTTGAGAGTTCAAAGTGCGGAGTAAAAACGATTTCGTAAAGTACGTAAAGACGTTGTCATCGAAGGCAAGGAACGAAGTAAATATTCGTCAGCGAATAATAACAAAAATTAAAAAAAAAAAAGAAAAAAACACTCAGTGTACACGCACGCAGGCACACACGAGGACGAAGAAAAAAAAATACACGCGGAGGAAAAAATGCGCGTGCGAACGAAGTGAGGAATCACGGGTGGCACGATTTGCGGCTGCGTCGAGGCTTTAACACCGGCAGGACAATCTCCTGCGCGCAAGCGAGTTGGGCACGTTCCGCTTCGCTCGCGGTCGTCCTTGAGGTCGTCCTCTCGTCTTTCCGCGGAAGCCCGCGCGCAACGGGGGTGAAACTACCCCCTCCGTACCGGAACAGCGCGATCGGCGCGTCGGGCGACGAGCCAAGAAGAAAAACGAGCGACGTGAGAAGGAAAGACCCCGAAGAGGAAGAAGAAGAAGAAGAAGAAGAGGTACAGGGAGAGAACGCGCGCGAAACGGAATCTCGAGGAGGAGAGAAAGAAAATAAGATTGGTACAGCCAGACTCACCGCAATCCCAACCGGGTCATGTCGACCTCCCTATTCCTCGACGGGTCTAGGGAGCCGAGTAGCACAGGCTTGAAGCACGAGCACCGCACAGACAGGCCGGTCACAAAATATCGCGCGGAACCGGGCACCGAGTGGACCGATGATGTGTGCAGACCGTCCCATCCAGGGAGGGCTCTGAATGGACTCCGGGTGGAGGGAAGGAAGGAAGGTGGAGGCGGCCGTCGCGCCGAGCCACGCCAGCGCTAGGAATTCCTCCGCCGAAAGGACCGGGCGAGAAGAGGAGAGTTGCCTTCTCTCGGAGCCTTCCGCGACGAGCACTCGCCTCGTTCGCTCGTTTTCCCCGACGTCGACCGGGGGATATCGCCCCCTCTTCTCTCTCCTTCTGTATCCCTGATCTTCTCCCGTTCCCGCGAGAAGAGAGCACGATCGGAGTCTGCGGCTCGCCTGCCTCCAGCTAAACTCCGGGTCCGCGAGACGGGAAGAAGAAGAAGTAGAAGAAGAAGAAGAAGAAGAAGAAGAGGAAGCGAAAGGTAAAGAGTGCGAGCAAGAGGAAGGTGGAGGAAGGGAACGAACAACCGAATCAACTGAGTGCCGACTTCTCCTGGGGTTGGTAGGGGAACGAAGAAGAAACGATCGACGAGAGAAGAGAAACCGGAGAAGGAAGAGAAGAAGGAGGTGGTAAAGCCGCCTCTGAGCCGAGGCGCTCCGCTCGCTCGCTCGTTCGCTCGCGCGGTCGCGCGTCGCACGAGGACTGTTGCGCGGCCGCGAGGGACCCTACCGGTGTCGGTCGCGCCGGTTTCGTGCCGCCAAGCCAGGCCAAGCCGAGCCAGCCCGGAGCTTTACGGAACTTAATCGTGCCGCGGGGGGACAGAGCGGGGCCCGCTTGTCCCAGGGAGGGCCGCGCACCACCGTCGAGTGTCCGACGAGAGCGCGCAAGGATACAGGCGCTTGGATGAGAGAGAGAAGAGAAGAGGGCGAGCGCGAAAAGGAGGGAGGAACTGAAGAGAGGAAGAGGAAGGAGAAAGAGAGACGGAGATCGCGCGGTCTCCTCCACCGCCTTCAGGCCTGCCTCGTGTCCGCCCGTCTGTGTGTAGCGCCGAGCGATCAGGAGGACGAGCCAACCGGGGGCCGTCTGTCTGGCCCTTCGACACGCGGTGCGTCGACAGGCCGGCTGACGACGAAGACGACGACGACGACGACAACGAGCTCAGCGAGATTGTCGTGTGCCAAGCCGCACGTTGCCTCTCTCTCTCTCTCTCTCGGGGATCGCGAGAGACGAAGGAGCGCAGAAAGCAGGATTAGGTGAGGCTAAATACCTCGGGGATCGTCCGCAGGACCTCTCAAGGTTGGCACGAAAGACATAGACGGAGAGGAGGAGGTGGAAGAGGACTCTCGAGGCCGACACGATGCGGCCCAGGGTCGCGACGACGTCAACAACCACCGGCGACGAGGATGGCATCTCGCGGCTCATCTCGTCGCACCTGGTCCTGCGAATCATCAGCCTCCTCGCCCTATTGGTGCTCGCCACCACGTGGATACCGGTCGCCGAGGCTGTGGTGAGTGAGAAATACCCTTCAGATGTATCGCGTGCCGGATGATGATGTTCATGGTGCGGAGGAATCCCTCCTTAGGCTCTCGTGGATTTGGGTCGAAACAAACAACCTTATCCTTAATAAGGGATGCTAATGGTGTTCCGCGAATGCTAAAAAAAGATGTAGATCGAAGATCGATCGAGTCAGGTGGACTCCGTATGACGGGTTCGATGATGATGGTGGGGAACGCGATAGAAATGTCAGTTCAATATCCGCATGAATCGGAGAACCGGAAATTGAGTGCGCACGTAGCATCTTATATAAATGATTACAATGAATATCAACGTTGCAAATTCTTACGCGTCGATCGGATTACATTGTTTTCGGAACCATCAATATTGCGTTCGTAGCCTGCACGAATTCGAGTATCGTGGGTTGTGATTATATCATCAATTTAAGATAGCCTCTCATGCTAATTCATCGCGATACGCGTGTAATCATTTTTACATTTAACGCAAACATCTAATATTTTTTAATTTAACAGTTCCGATTCATTTCGATTATTTTCTGCATTTTATTCGGCCATATTGGAATCGCCATTTTGGATTTCAGGATACTGATACCAAAGTCAACAACACTTTAAAACCTCTTAAACATCAAGTTTGATAAAAATCGTTAAAAAATTACTAATTTAATTTCTAATTTAATTTCTTTCCTAGCATCTTATTATTTTTTTTTTTTAAGAAAGATATATGCCGCTTAATTTAAATAAATCAGATTATTAAGTAATAGTTAACATACAGCTGTTACTAATTTATATTCCATCATTTTCTTTCTTACCATCTCGCGAAATGATTTATAAGCGCGAGAATCAGCTGTCAGTATCATGCATTCAGAGAACACGATAAATCTCTGTAGAAATCTCTCTTTTATACAGGAACAAACATTTATTTTATCAAGTGCCTATTTGTGGTAGATCATAAAAACGTATGTAATGTCAAAACCACAATCGCTTCATTTACTTCCAACTTTGATTGATTCTCTCTTTCTTTCTTCAGTGGATAGACGACTACATGACTTAACACTAAAACGATTAAATTTTCTTTTTTTGTTTTTTATTATCAAAAGAAATAATTTAATTCTTTAGAATGATGTTAATACAGATTATTTCTATCTTTTTATATTGTATAGTTATAATATATTAAAATTTTTGCGCTTCCTTCTAAAATATTATGAATCTTTTATAATATATATTATATAAAAATAATTTGATAATTGAAGTATTAATCACATACATATACACACACAAAACTCGTGATAAAATCTTTGTTTATATTTTCAAGCACGTGATCAATTTCTCTTTTATTTTCAGTATGAAATTTTTCACTGACTGCAAATATTTTTTCTTGTTATTTTCCTTCATTCATAAATTGGGACATTATTCTAATCTACAATCAACTCTCGGCCGTTAGTTTCAGTGTTAACGAATGTAGGTGTGTTTTGCTAACCTAACGGATGACTATGACATACCAGAGAAATAGTCTAATATCGTGCCATATCTGGGGCAACTTCTGTCGCTCTTAGGTAAGCTCTATGGAGCCTAATTCCAGCCTTTCAAACAATGCGTGGGAACATCAGACGAGCGCTTTAAATGCCGATATCATTGATATGATTTTACACTACGGCACATATACAAATATTTATTAGAATAAAATAGAAATTAGGAAAGATACATACATGATTACATATTGTTATGTAAAAAATGTATGCCACTTTGTAACAAAGTATTGAAGAGATGGTTGTTACTTTCTATTTCTAAATGCATCGTTATGGTATATATTGTATGTGTTTATTAGAGCGAAAAAGATGACAAACGAATTTCTTTTTATATCTTGAGACTTATTGGATTGCATTGTGTTATTCACGAGATGATTCGAAACATAGCTCACATATAACTGTTAATATATCAAAAATTTATATTACAAAAAAAAATTATTTTACCTCTACTATTAAATTTTTCCTTTTTTAATATCAGTTTTAATATTGACAATTTGCAATTTTAATAAATATTATATTGCGTTAAATTAATAAGAAGAATATATATTTTCTT